TTTCCTTTTTCACGTGAATTGCTGTCGAAATATGGGAGCAGTTTCTTAAAATATTTTTTTTTCTTTTAAATCCGAGGATCTGTCGACGGAATTACGTGTCTTGTTACGATTTCTATACATAAAATTTTAGTTCACTGTTTGTCTAATTTAAACAGAAAATGAAAGTGAAAGAAAGTGTCATTAAAAAAATATTAAAACTAAAAAAAAATTCTTGATGCCTGAAGCTTTTACATGTTTCACTTTCAATACATAACAAAAGTTATTTGAAATATTATAAATGTGCAAACAACATTTTTCGATTATTTTGATATAAAAGCGCATTGTAGGTAAAAATGCATTTGATTATTCGACCGCTAGGTAGGTATACAACAAAGAAATACCGCACGCATTGACTGCACGTCTTAAAATTGCGAAACCGTTTACGCTAGTGCGTCTAAACAAAAAAAACTTGAGCATGGAAAGTAAATTACGTGCACGTAGGATCAAAGAAAGCAAATAGAGAATGAAGGAATAACAACTACAGTTTAATGAGAAGTACTCAATTATCGAATACTTCCTTTGAACATGGTTATAACTGGATGGTAAATAGTATTTCGCTCATTTCGTGCTACGCTGACGTAATTGTAATTTTGGCAAAATTAAATTAATTATCTAAACTCATTGTGTTAACATAATATTTAATTCAATTGTGCCAAAATTACAATTACGTCAATGTGCACCAAATGAGCGATTTGTACTTTTATTGCGGTGTACGTAACTTTTATTGTGTATGTAACTCACAATAAGAGTGTTGATTTTACCTAATCAAATTGTTCAATTATTTATGTGTCGGAACTTCCGGGTTATTATTGATTCTAAAAGAACTCTTCTTGAGTTCAAAATTTCCACTGAATTAATATTTGACATATAATTATAAACTTCGTATATAACAATTATATACCGAATTCATTCGATGCCTTGTGTCTGCCTCCGTTAGTTGAAAGGGCGCATGTGACATTTTTTCAAATTTGTTATGTATTATGCCGTGAACGGTAAAAAAAGGCCAATCTGACACTATTTTTATTTTTTCCTAGGTAGATAAGGTATGAAGTTACCGCAAGGGAAAAGAGATATTATTCAATTTAATACCTTCAAACATTATTTCCTTGGATTTTTAAGCACAGACCACATGGAAGGATTTAAGTTTTCGTCACATGCGCCCTTTTAAACTAACGGCGGGTGATGTATAAATATGGGACATCGAAATATATTTATTGGGTAATGAACATTTTGCGAGCCTGATTTTAAAGTTTTTTGAAGTCTTTCCACGCTTATAATTTCATAATAATAAAAAACATATAGTAATAATAGTAGGTTTATTGTGATAATAGGATATTCCATTCATTTCGCTTCTCGCTTCTGGATAATGGGATTATTCATTCACGAAGAAAAAGGTGTCTTTCTGCTGGTTAACAGAATATTTGGACCAAAATGGTGAGGTATCTCAAGTCAATGGAAAATAAAATGTAAAAGGTTTGTTTTTCACAAACGACACTAAGGTGTAAGGAATGTGGATTTTACGAAACAAAGTTATGAAACAAATAAAGCACGTTGAAAACTATTCAAAACTCCAGAAAATGCATTCATTAATCGTGGTTTATTAAAATACGTATTTAAATATTGCATGTAGCCTATGGTAAATTTGATAAGGCATTATTTATGAACATGGTAATATATCTTATTTGTGTGTATAGTACTTAACAATATTTAAAATATCGACGTGTGCAATATAAAAGTAAGCACAAAATGCCTAGGAGATATTTGTAAGAATATTGACAAACACCAAGAATCAATTTAACGTGGAGATAATTTGTTAGTCAATTACAAGTCATACCTTAAAAACTATACTTTTACGCGGGTGTCAAGCATGGATGTGTAAATCTAAAGAATATTGACGCTACGTAATACATTGCTGCTGGCATTATGAAATGAGTAGTAGGTCTTTCTCATTTTTTCTTTAATGAGGAGGAAAAGATAACATTAATAGTAAGGTACTCACACTATGAAGCATACTATGCACCAACAGCTGCTATGAATTCCCTCTTTGGTTTATATTTATCAATCTCTTCGCCCTAAGCAGCACCGAACAACAACACAGCACTATTTTTCGTCTATTTTCTCGAAATACTAACATCTGGCTTCACAATTTAATGTCAAATTACTTGTTATCATACACTAAAACTTTAATGTAGACATTAAATTGTCGAAATCTTTCGCAAAATAAACGCAAGACGAACTGCGAACGCACAGTAGTCACGACAGCGCCGCGACACACGTCTCGCCCGATGTTGTTCTCAAAACAATTTGATATTTATTGAACGAACAAATACTGAATATCAAATGAATGAACTGCCGACCAATGAATGAATGATTGCCTTCGAAAACAAAAGATGCCATCTCTTTCTATCGCAATAACAGTACAGTATTATTTATGTAAACGTAAAAGAGAAAGAAGTCATTTACGATTGTCAAGAGAGCGAATGGCAGTAGAATGAATGGTGTTGCGTTTTAGTGTTGATATAATAACACAAAAATTTGCAGACTTTCATACAATATACAAAAATAATAAAATTAATAAATAAATAATTAAATTCATAATCGATATTGTGAAAATTATGTTGTGTGCTTAATTACTATTTTACTTCTTACATTTTTTATTCAAATAATATCCTTGTTTTATTATTCCTAGTGCCGGGACGAACGTGTCGTATTTTTTTTATTTGTTATACTTAGTGCCGGGGCTAACGTGTCGTGTGCTCGGTGGTAAGCGACACGTCTATCCATAACAGTTGCAGTGCCACTCAGAGTTCTTAGGGGCACTGCCACTGCGCTCGTCACCCCGACACATTTGTTAAAAAGTCTCGTGTGTCTGTAATTTCACTAGCACCCTAACCTTTCCAAACTGGAACGCAGTAATGTTCACATTACTTCTTGATGGCAAAAATAGGCAAGGGGCAGTATTTCTCTGGACTATTTATATATTAAATCAAAGTTGCACACACACACACACACACACACACACACACACACACACACACACGCGAACGCGCGCGCGCACACACTCTCTCTTTCTCTCTCTCTCTCTCTCTCTCTCACACACACACACACACACACACACACACACACACACACACACACAC